GTCAAAATAAACATCTTGAAGCACCTCTCGAAAACACCAGATCCTTGGATACCGATAAAGGCAGCCAACCTTGTCTGAACATCTTCTTTGCAAATTGCTTAGGGGCTAAACATTGGCCCATTCTCATGCACTCAAATTTTGCAAACTATTGGGTTGTCTCATAATTCCTGTCCCAACTTCGATACTTTCGTTTACTCGAGTTTTACCCCTCCTAGGAAGCAATTGGGACAGAATCAGATTCTGGCCAACCGTCACGTTCGGCCGATTCCGAAATCACATGTGAAGGGGTTCATCAATATTTAGGTCTCTCTTTCCAAAAGTCGCAAAACTGGACTATATTATTGATCATTTTCATCTGCGGGGTTTAATGCCACGGCTTCAGTGTGTGACCCAAAAGTGTGATGGAAAACCATAATCAAGGATGATCATAACAGCGGAGCACTCAGCCTTACTGTTTTGATTTTAGTTAGCATGAGAGAATATGAAATCAAGGAAGGATCGCATTTGTGAGCTATACAGGGTTAGCAAAAGCTATTGTACCGCGATGTAACTCTTGGGTAACTCTTCACTATCCTCTTCCTTTTTTATAATGTGATAGAAGCCAACACATTCTTCCTAATGGAACCCAATCTCATACAGTTGTGGAAATTGGTGGAACAGCCACATCGCGGTATGCCAATCCTTAACGTGGGGCTCTGTTACGCTTCATCTAGCGATAGTTAAGCTGAAGCTCCAATCGTCAACGTTAATAGGATAGGAATCACTTATGATAGAAAAGGAGATTCAAAGAGTACAGTTGCCACCAGAACGATTACTACGTGGAAGAACTCGTTCCCTTCTTGGCGACTTTCAGACCGCAAAAATGGAAAACTTGATTCCAAAGGCCACATTAATGTTAAGTCTCAATGCCTAGAGTGGGTAAAAGGTCGCATGAGTATATTCTCACGGGAAGGATGGTAAGTCGAAGTGGCCATTTGAATTGAGGTACACATTTTCTTTTAGGTCTCCGATAGGTAACCTTAAAACTGTGTTCCATATCTGCTAAACGATTTCCGGAACAAAGTTACAAACGTATACCGGATACGGAGCAGACGAAAACTCCGCTCGATTACGACACGCCACATAGCTTCGGACGTGCAGTGATGGCCTAGTGGATACGATGCCATCCTCATGTTGTGAAGGTCAATGGTTCGAATCCTCCGTTTCGAAAATTTTTTGCTTTTATTTAGAACTATTCTCTGCATACTGGAAATTGACTTTTACGTCTTGACTAAACCCAATCTCGTCGGAAATAGCTTTTCCCTGGCGGAAGTGAACCATTTCGAATGAGTTGGTGAAGATCAATTTTGATTACTTCATTTCATTTCATTTTCATTTTATTCAATCCTTTGAATTCCTCAAAGACTCCGTCTTCGGACAAGGATCCAGCGAGTGAGATGTCCTCAGAAACTCTCAGGCAGCCAAGATTCAAATTTTTGGAGAACGATCGGATGCGACGTATAAAACCGCGCGCAAGCGACCGGGAAGTGATGGATATTTCAAAAAATCCTTTGATATAGCAATTTTGGCGGGACTGTGGTGGAGAAACAGTCTGCCATATCATTCGAAGTGTTAAAGAATGTTCTGCCCAAAGGTCGTGGTTTCGCATTTGTTGAAGGCTTTCGGTCCTTGTGATATTATGCGACCACCAACAAGGAAGGAGCAAAAAATCATTGACAGCTTCACGTTGATCCTCCGTGAGGCAACTTATGACGACCTTGTTGTCGACTCTGAGGAGGACAACAGCATTGAAGAGACGTAATGGATTCACTGTGGGCAGGTGAAGAAGAAGAGATGAGTTCTCCGAGCAGGGGTGAAGGCACCATCCTTTTTGGGAATGTTGAAGTTTCTTGGGAAAAGGTACGAACTAGAATCACTTTGTGCTACAAAACTCCTACAGGATTCTGTGATGCAGGCGATGGAAGCCGCAGCGTTTTATCGGTCTAGTGCCAAGAAGTCCCGTTCGCTGTCGTGCATGAGGAACCGGTTCCGATTCATCGATACAGAATACCATCTTTTGAAGTTGAGGCAACTTGAGAAAAGTCGTAAGCTGTTTCACTTGCTAAATTTTATCGATTATTTTTTGCTTGACTCCAGCGTATTTCATCGACGTAGTGAATGATGTGTACGTTGCTAGACATCCATGCCGACCGCCTTGCTCGCCTACGGACACTGGCCGACAAACTGAAGGATGCAGTCATGGCGAAGTTTGATAAAGGAATTTCTCTGCACGACTCAGACATCCGTCGTATGGCACTGTCCATCAACAAGGAGGAGTTATCAATTGAAAACTTCAAAGCCAGCCACTACTGGATACAAAATTTCAAGCGAGTTTGCGGCATCGTGTCACGACGCGTAACCACTTTCATTTCAACAGGGATGAATTCCGCGACGAAGCACGCAAATTTCTTCTAGAAGTGAAAAAAGGTAAAATTAATTATGATACTTTGTAAACGCAGAGAACTTTTTTCTGGGAGTAGTCTGATGACCTATCTAGAAATGGAGGTCCGTCCGCTGGGAACCATATGCAATGCCGACCAGAGTGGGTTTGTAAAGGAGATGCACCCAACTAGGACGCTAGCTGTGAAAGGTTCGAGGAAAGTGGAAAGGGTGGTGCAATCCCTGTCGGCTACCACACATTCCTTCACCATCATGCCGACTATATTCGCGGATGGTCACCTGGCATCCAAGCTTTTCGTGGTGATGCAGGTCTGTTCTGTACTCAAGAATATACTAACGAATTGCTCTTTTCAAAATAATTCAGTTGTCAGGAAGTGACTGGGAAATTTCCGAAGAAAGGCTATTTCCGAGCCAGCAACTTGGAAGTTAGGGCAAGTACCACGCACATTATGAACAAAGAGCTAATGCTGGAATGGGTGCGGTGCGCAGACTTCCCGTCATCCACTCTTCTTGTGGTGGACTCTTGGACGTCATTCAAAGACCACGAGGCCATTCGCTCTGTTGTGCCATCCTGCAACGATATTAGGATAATGAACATCCCGGCTGGTGCGACATCGCAAATTCAGCCATTAGATGTGTACTTTTTTCGACCATTCAAAGCGATGTATAAGCGGTTTACGTCCTACATTGTGAGTCATGATTTGCAGTTCTGTGTGAGTGCACGCGACTCTATTCTCCAAATTATATCCTTGATATACTTTCAATTCTGTTCTACTAGATATAAGAAATTTCTTTGTTATTCATGGCACGCTGCAGGCTACGTCGATGAACACAGGTTCATCCAGGTGAATTCGAAACC